CACAGTGCGAAGTTGATGTATTTCCTCAGCGATCAGCACGGATCAGCTCCAGGCATGACGAAGCAGATATCGTCCTCTTTTGGAAGGCCAAACAAAGTAGTTTCGCTTTCACAACGAAACACAGCGTCTTCACGACATGGCAACTACAATACTACAGCGAGAATAAAAGTTATGCCTTCTTTCTTTGCGTGAACATTTGGGCGGTGTTATGCAAATCTTCCCACATAGTGAGGTAGGTATGTGGGGGCGTGTTCGAACGAGCCGTTTTAGGTAGGTGTGGCTAACTCTTAACTTTTATAAAGAATATCTCTTTGGATTTGAGACTTTAGTCTTTGCAACTTTACAGATCTTCTTTATGCACCAAGAGCTTGTAACACTCTAAAGAGAAAGGAAAAAATGAAATCGCATCATATGACCCCTTTAAGTTTAGGTATTGGGTAGGATTAGGGATGTAGAATATACTCATGCAGAAATATGTGCTTTATAAGTACTAATAAACAGCCAATGTTAATAATAGTCATGCTAATAAGCAACTAGTTAATAGTGAAAATTAGTCCCTACACTAAAAAGTGTTACCATATTTCCCATATCACCATTGTCCTCGTTTTAATTCTAACAAACATTTATTGTGCAGAAATGTGTTAATTTCAGTGCTCGTTTCATTTCATTACATTAATTTGATTGTTAATGTTTTAGGTCTTCATTTCAGCGTATATATTCTAATATTCCATTATATAGAATTAGAAAATGTCACGGGTACGCTTGTGAGCAAAGCGGTGTTCTGTCTGCCTACCTAGGTGTACTTGCTGCATGTAAGCCAGTAGTGCGGGTTTGTTGGCCGCCCATAGGCCGGGAAGCTGCGCCTCTGGAGGATACTTGCAGCAAGAGATTTCCAGTGTGAGCTCCAAACATTGTGCCCACACGTAGTTATAGTCTTGCATTCCCCCTAAGAGAACAACACACGAGTATGTCACTGAGAATTGATACAAACAGCAACAAATCATCTCAAAAGTATCTCAAGTGTCACTACAGTAATTATATATATATTTTTTTTTACAATCATATTTTGAAATGTAATCATTACAATTACGACATCAAAATATTAGCCATGTTTGCAGGTAAACTGTCACGAACAATTATTAAACTGATGCTTACAACCTTTTTACCTGGTAGAGGATACCAGTGATATCCGTTAGTGATGCCGTGGGAGAAGTCCTGCGAGTCGTAACAGCTGTTTCCGCTGTGCATCTCGCTGTGGCTGTAGGAGTAGGTCTTTGCCAGGTGGACAAACACGTCGTCGTCGGGGGAGATGCTGAGGCCTCCTTGCAGCTCGCTTCCTGAAACAAAGTCAATGACATTACTGTTACACGCCGCTGCACTCAAAAGAACTCCTACAGAATTGCTGTTCATCATTAAGACAGTTATGTTTAAACTTTTTTTTACGTATTTTGTAAGGCATAACTTCATTATTTTTAAAACTCTATATCAGTCTATAATGATATGCTACGACAGACAATCATTTGACTTGCTTCTCACAATAATAATAATTGTAATAATAATAAATAAAAAAAACTGCAAGTTAATTACCATAAATGCATGTAGCTTTTAAAACCTCACAATATTGATTCACGCCTTCAACCCTGTAAAGCCTATCATATGAAAGGCAAAAATGATAACATTGTAATAATAAATCAATAAATAAAATACATGATATAACAGTTTGTCAAGGGTACGCAATTTGCAAATCATTTTAAGACAGTTTGCATGTGATTGCCGACAACAGATATTCATATTCCATGCATCAGCCCTTTACTAATCACATACCATATACAGACCTTATGCACCAGAGAAACAAGTGTGCAATCATCTTTACAATTCTCTCTTTCAAATTCTGTTTTTGTGGAGGCTCTATAGCATCGCTGTTAAAGATGATCAAGTAGACTTTCTTGATGTACAGTTCACAATATCATGAGCATTGTAATGTTCAAAGCAGATGTCATGACAAATGTCTCACTACAACCTTACCTTCGTGATCTAGAAATATAAACGGAAAGCAGAAGACAAGCGCAGTGCTGAAAAGGGGGCAGAGCTACATAAGGTCTATTATACAACATAAATGTTTTTAATTATTTCTCCAATTTGAGCTTTATTAAAAAAATATACTAAATTAAAATAAAATAAGATACAATTAAATTAAATTAATTTGACATTAAATTAAAGTTTTAGAGGCCCAAACTAAGCAAAAACATAGAATTTGGTGCAATTGAGGATATTTATAGCCAAAAATAAGACAAGTAAACATTCCTCAAGCATACTGTATCATATTTTACAATTTTCTAAAAATGTACAGATGATCAAGTAAGTTTAACTTCCTATGTGTTCATCTTGAAATATTACTAATATTAATATTACATTCTTAAAATTTATTCTTACATTTACTTGATAAAAATCACTAACATTTCACAGCAAAAACAAGTGTACCAGCACTTGAGGGGGGGGGGGGTTGCAGTTACAGTTAGTTTACTAGCTGAAAATCTATAAACTATAAAGCATTGTGTGCAACATTTCACTTAAATTTTCATGCTATTGACAATTTAGAGGACTTAACAGTTTTCATTTCAAATAGGATACAGTAAGCTTTACACCATTAACATTAATCTAACATGAATCTCTATCAATTAAAAAAAAATAAAGAAAACAAAACAGATATGGCTTCATTAGCAACTGACCTCTGTTGCTGTTGTCGTAGGGATAGCTGGCCACCACCGCTCCTCCGTGGAGATTGGCCGAGAGGACAAAGCTTTCCGTCTGTAGCCAGTCCATCACGGCCCTGACCTCCTTCTCCCTTTTCTGATCTGTAGTACTCTCGAACGCGTCCGGAAAATTGCGATTTAGGTCCACTCCGTTCTTATTATACCTGTGGGGGAAACCGGTTACTCCCCATAAAACAGGTTCAAGAAATCTTTCAGAAATAATTACAGCTCATACCTGTAAAAACGGTATTTCGGCATTACCCATAGAAATTACACTTCACCTATGTTTTTTCCTGATTATTTCACTCTGCGCTGTATTTTTGTATGCTTTAACTTCATATATTTGGACAAACATTACTGCAACACTCCACTGATCTGGGCTTCGTGATGGTGACCAGACTCAATCCTCTCCTCAATCATGACACATTAAAACCCACTTGAAATTTGCCAAAAAAAAAAAAAAGGACTCTTAAGACTGAGAAACAAGATTTTTTGATCTAATGAACCACATCACGTATGGAGGAAACCAGGCACTGCTCATCACCTGCACAGTACCATCCCATCAGTAAAGTGATGGTAGCAGCATCATGCTGTGGACTGGTGGACTCGGAGTGGAAGGAGAGCTCGATGCTAGTGCTTGGCGGTATGACCAAAAATTTATATCACGGTATTTTTCAACATTATTTCACTGTACATGGCTGAGAAACAGGATTTTTTGATCTAATGAACCACATCACGTATGGAGGAAACCAGGCACTGCTCATCACCTGCACAGTACCATCCCATCAGTAAAGTGATGGTAGCAGCATCATGCTGTGGACTGGTGGACTCGGAGTGGAAGGAGAGCTCGATGCTAGTGCTTGGCGGTATGACCAAAAATTTATATCACGGTATTTTTCAACATTATTTCACTGTACATGGCGGTATTTTTTTTTTCATGCATGACCGGGTGCTAACCATATTTTCCACTGATTGAGAGAGGAAATACTGCAGTATATTGACTTAGAATGCCCTATTTTACTGTCATGATGAGTGATTATTGTCAAAATACCACACTAAATAGTGACTAAACACGACCCCTTTTAATACATGTT